TTTGTAGAAGTATAATACTACATAGTATAAGATTTCGCTCCACCCTAAAAAAGTGAAACAACAGGTTTTTTTTATATTTTTTTCAAATTGATACATTATTTTACTTTTTTCAAACTTGGCATTATTTAAATGTTTTAATTATTTTCGTGTAGTAGAATGAAATTTTGGTATCCATCTGAAAAAAAAATAAAACATGTAATTTTACCTTTTATGGTTAACTTAAAACAATATGAAAATAAATGTGAATGTATACTAATTTATCTATTATTAGTCCATATGCTATACCCCTTCCTGTTTATACTTGTACAGCTTACTTTAAGGGTGTATTTTTGAGGGTAAGGAATCAAAATCCGGTATATTTTTGCAAAAGCCTGTGATAAGTCATTGTTGTTAACAAACGTTGGTAGATTTTTTTAAGCAATGGGCTTTATGTTAAAAGTGGTTAATGTTATGAAAAAAATAACTTTAAGCAAATATTGTTTATGACATTTTGATAAAGAATTGAGTTTTCGATTATTACCCGAAATATGATCGATTGTTTATCGAAGAAGAGCATACGCGGTTAATTGGAGCAACGCAAGCTGCATATTATGACGCGTTTATCAGCTAAAGGGCTATAGTTGTCATCAAAATGTCCTAAATAACAATTATTTATTACACTCTAACGAAAATATTCGTTTTTGTTTTATTTTAATCTGTAACCTACCCGGCCTAAAAATAAAACGATTAAAGTATGTGTTGGGCGAAGGTATTTGGGGGAAAAAACGTTTACAATGTAGAATATACCCTATCTAGACATGCTAGAAGAAATACACATTATAAGAGAAAATTAAAAAATTTAACTTTTGATAATTGAATTTAAAAATTTTAATTTAGGACATTTTAGAAAACCCGATACCCAAATATTATATTTCAGGTAGTCAGACCATAAATAACCAAACCTTTGAATAAAAATTGCGTGGAAGGTATTATAACATCTCTTGTTGATGATGGATATTGAAGAGGTAAAGAAGTAAGTTATACCCGAAATATTGAGTTTAGGTTTCTGGGAATCAAAAATTGTTTGGGTGCTAATAGCGACTTGAGTTCTCAAAAAGCATGCTGCATGCCATTTCCAAATATTTGTTTTCAAATACCGATCAAACTAAACGATTTTAATTCATTATTGAACGTTTAAATGTTTGGTTATCAAATAGATAATTTAGCTAGCAAGTCTTAACGTTGTACGTGCGTCCGCGCCTTCACCCAAAATTTTAAAACCAAATATATAAAATGTATTTAATACCTTTCCTTTTTTTTCGTGGACAAGAAGTATTCAATTACAGCGAAATCAGTAGGTGATAGCGTTTCGATGACATCTTCATAGTAAGACTGAAGGATTTTAACGTTTTCCGTTATTGCTGATTGAAATGATGGAATGTTGGGGTCTTCGTACAAAAATCGGGTCTGTATCTTGAATTCGGGTCTATTTAGCCAATCATTGTAGCTCAATTCACTGACTCTGACTTTAATAGCGTACAAATTGTACTTTGCCAAAACTTCTTCGACGAATTCCGTGAACTTGGTTTTGTTGGCACCTTGGTCGTTGTTTAAATTGGCTACGATATTTGGGAGGAATCTGATATCCAATGAACTATTCAAGTTAAGAAAAATCATCTCCAGAATCGGTAACGGGATCTGCATCAACTTTCTGCGCTCTTCTCGCATGCTTGGTTGCAAGTTAGATTCACTGAGTTTGACTCGTTCGACTAAGATATACCACGTGGCCAGCAAAAAACGGCAGTGCTTAAGGAGAGCATAGTACGTGGTCATTAATAAGAGATCCTTAATTGTGTCGGTGTATTGGCACAAAGCGTAATAATCTGTTTTCCACATATCCTCCACGTAACGGTAGAGACATTTTAAAACATGATTTTCGTATGTTTTGAACCAAACTTTTGGAGGAGCGAATTTTTCATTTATATTTTTTTTGCTAAAAAAAAAATTGTACAAATCAAATCGGTCTTCGCTGCCGAACAGGTTTAATAGATCGCCTTCAGAATTAGCGGACAGTCTTATCTGAGAGAGCAGTTTAGAATTTTCGGCGTATAAATTGGTCGTAGGTATATCTTTAGGTAGAATGACGTATCTATCTATCCTGCTGCCATTTTTACAGTTCATAAGAACACCCTTTAACTGTTTGAAAATCTCGTTAACCGGTTTGTCGCCAAATAGATCAAAGCCGTTAAGGAAAGCGTCAATATAGATAGCCACAAACCACGTTGTCCGGTGAACAGAGCCTTTTAACATGTACATAATCAGTATAATACGATGCATATTCTTGTTGTATTGAGACAAGGTATGCATTAAATCTTTGGACCGAATATTTTCGTCATCGAACATCTGCTTTATGTGATATAATGTGTAAAGTGTTGCAAACTCGTACGCGCACTTTAGTGATAACGTTTTATGTACGTAGCTTTCAATGTCTGTCATCGGTAATCCATTGTCCAACTTTTCTAACAACAATTTCTTGTCGGATTCCGAAATCTTCGTGAAATTTAACTCAATTGTTCCGAACTGGTCAATATTTTCAAAAAATGTTCGACGTCTTACAGAATCCTCGGAAAGATAACAAAACAATATTATTACCTTTCATGACATAATATGTACTTCAATAGTTTACACATTTGCTAAGCCAATAGTTAGGTTTAAGTAGAATCATGTGTAACAATCGATGAGTTTAGAACACTGAACTCAATACACGGAACGCGTATGGACTATAGTCGGTTGCTTATGAAAATGCCCACAAGTAGGCTGTAATTTTTTGAATAGTCCATGGTATTTCTTTTTATAAGATTTATCAAATATATGTTGGAGTGTACATGTTCATGGTTGGAGTTATGATCACCTAACCTAATATTTTAATATGTTTCATAGAAATGTAACGTGGCACTTTAAATTTCAATGAATTGATAAATAAAATGGCTACCTCCCAGGTCGAGACAATTTTCAATCTGAATACGCGTTCCATATATTGAGTTCAGAGGCCTGGATTTATATGGATTCTATACAATTTCATAACTAGTTAGCCAAGACCCGTAGGTACGCTCAGGGCCAGTTGTTATATGGTATTATCTTTATGTAGAGAAAAAATAAAAACAATAATTAATAAGTTTTGGCTTAAGTATTCCTAATCAAATCTGGTTAATTGTTATTATAAAAAACTAATAAAAATATGTATTTATTTTGTAATGAATATTGAGTTTTAATAAAACGTTTTATTTATTGTTTTAAATAATATATTTTAGTTTCAATGCGGAGCTTTAAATTTTTTTTTTGTTTGTCTGTACCCAATTTTTTACGATTATATAATATTCACTTCAATTATTAAGCTTTATGGAAATTTGAATGTATAATGTACGAGAAATTCTAAATAAAAAATATATTTACCTCATAAATTTTATTGAAGGTACATTGGTAATTAACGATTTGCTTGCTAGCTAATAACAAGACGGCTAAAAAATATTTTGGGTAAATCATGATCACAAGTTTTTTAAAACAAAAAAACTATGGTCGTATATTTATGTGTATCTTAAATGTATAAATAAAAGCACGTTTATACTGCGTCTACTTGTACTAAAATAACAAGCCACCAATATGACATATTTTTTCTGATGAATTTGTATTACTTGAAACATCGTAAACGTTGTTCGACTATGTACACTAATTTTTTTTTTTACGATATGATTTTCTATTGGAAACCTACGTGTTTTCTATACAGCGCAGCTGTTAATAAAAAGTAACTAGATAGATATTATATAGTGCCTATTGAATATTAAATAAAACAAATTAAATATCACAGTTTTTTTTTTTGTATAGCTGCATTATGATATGGTTATTCGTAAGAGTCCCACACTTTTATTGATTGCATATTCTTAGTTAAAATTAATTTGTATTCTAATATATACAGGGTAATTATTTTATCGTGAGCCACTGAATATCTCATAGAGTCTAATAAGAAATATAATTTTTTTTTCATGGCGTTTTTGATTTTACCCCTCGCTGACTAATTATTTTTACATTATCTTTTGAAAATGTAATGGTAACGTTTATCTTTATTAGCTCTTTAATATTTTACTAAAAATTTCTACTGGTTAATAATCAGTTTTCAACAACTATTTTTTATGTTATAAGAGTTTAAAAGTAAGGACGGGAGAGGAAATGCGCGCAGGTAAGAATAATGCTGCACTCCACCTTTCCTCCTGCCCTAAACATAAAACTTCAATAACTTCAAAAATAGTTATCCGAAACTGGATATTGACCAATTTAAATTTTTAGTACATCATTCTCCATTTAAAAAGTTAGTAAAATGTGTACGATATCACTTAAGATTCAAAAGTTGCTATAAAAAAAAGTAAGTTAAGAATAAATAGTTAGGGAATGGGTAAGAACATAAATATTTGTGGAAAATCGAGATCAAATTATATAAAAACAATATTAAAAAAAAAATTTGGTTTTTAATTAAAGCCAATGAGATATTGAGTGGAACACGATAAAATGATCACCCTGATACACGATTTGACAAATGAAATAACTTTTATTCTAGAGAATATTTTTGAGATTTTTTTTTGTAATTTATACTCATAAAATATGCTGCAATTAATTGGTAAATTGTTTTTGTAATAAAATTATTTTTTACTTTTTACTATTTTTTATTTTGGAAAAGCATGCTTTTAAAAAAGTTTTTCTTACTATCCTTTTTTTTAAAAAACTTGTTCATTTCTTGGCAATTTAAAGAAAATATATTACATTTGGGAAAATAATATAAATTTAAAAAAATTAAAATTGGGTAAGTAAATTTTAAATTATAAAAAATATACGGCATTCATCTGATCATCATTTATGATAAATACTATATAAATATGAGTTTGTACACATGCATTATGTGTCGGTATATTTTACCGTATGATAACAAAAGTACTATATCTATTTTATAACGTGTCTCAGATGGTAGTATGTCAACTAATTGAGCATCGGTGGCCAAGATCATTGTCTTGTTGGTCGGTTGTCTCCTCATGTTTTTGAACCGGTGCTTCTGCCACAGTAATACATGGTTTGTTGTTCTCCTGAAAGAGAAATTTTTGTTACATTTTTGTCTTAATTATAGTAAAAACCATAATTGTTTTAATAAACAAACAATAGTGTGCATTCACTTCGATGTACTTACCCAATAATGTGTTACATCGTGACGGTCTGGGTAGGGGGAATGTAATGGTATTTGAGCGGGAGCCTCAAAATATACGCAACGAAAAAACTACAATATAAATGAGTTATTAAAAGTTGTTACAATTTAAAGTTCATTTTTACTCACGATGCCTATTAAATTGCGCACGCCAGTAATACGAATGAACACTATCGGCCTTGGTTTAAATTGCAACACCTGCCAACCACGTGTCTTTTCCATAGAATTGTTCATGATCATTACCCAATCCTGATTATTGGCAGAAACTTCTACGGTGTAACTGTAGCATAAGTTATCATCATCCCAAAGCAGCATTCTGTCAATTATCACAATAATTCAATTAAAATAACGTTAAAACAAAAGTTGCTGATATGAAAGTCGATAACATTCAATTAACAGATGATGAATGAATTGGTGAACATTTAAGTTGGGTCTATGCAGCTGAACGCATACAACATGTACGTACCTTAGGCAATCTAACATGAAGACATACAACATACTAGTTATTTAGTAAAAACAAGTTTTTTTAACCATTACCTCATTGAACTAAGTATATAAGGTTGTGCGAGTTGAATCCGAATACAACCCGATCCTATAGGATGCCATGTATATTTGTGATTCCGAAAGTCAATATGGTAGGGATGAATTAAGAAATGTCTCGATATATATGGTTCACCTTCATTTACAGTTGCATTCATAGATTCTGTAGCAACATTGTACTCGGGAGCTGAAAAATTAAAATCAATCAACTAGATAAATATGTATTATAATTTAATGTTTTTAAAAATTGGATGGTTTTATTTTGGATGGGGAGAGGGGGATCTTACCCACGAATCCATTTTCGATTTTTACTGAGTCCCATCTTTCAGTATTGTAGGATACATCCAATAGCTGGAATTTCTTATAACCAGTATTTTTTGTACTAACTATTCGAATATACCTAACTAACTGCTTGAGGATCCACAAATCTTGAACAGAACGACAAAAATAATCTGAATAATCTATAACACGCACCCAATGATTGCCATCAATGGAAACATCAATGTAATAACTGTAATCCCTAAAAAATCATATAAATCGAACAAACCGTTGTATATTTGTATATTACGTATAAAATTAAAAAAACACATAAATGTTATTTTTTACTAATATTTATTACGGTTAACGTCCGTTATTCCCACCGATTGGACGGTTTAGTACCGGTGGCAATTTGTTCCCCTAGACAGTTGTGCCCCGGAGGAACAAACTGTCAGTGGCCTGCGCTAAACATTTTCATAAATAAAAATATAATTGTTTTAAATAAAAACCAGTGACATCGAGTTCAGAATAATTATATTGAACACAAACATATTGAATAATTTCAATTTATGATTAAACATATTGATAAACATACCCTGAATCATTATCTCCGAACAGTATTGTAATTTTGTTTATAATTGCTAAACGACCCAAAGTTATCATAGCAACTCCGTCATATTCTTTGATATCCAGAACACCCTGAGACCCATGAATAAGATTCACATCTGAAAATTTTAAATTATGAAGTTCAACATAATTTTATAAATAAAAAATGATGCGTGCAACAAGCATACTTTGCTGTACTCGAAACTGAAGCTCATGTGGTGATACCGTATTTCGTAACAACTTGGCATCCGGAATTGTATCCGATATTCTTTCCAAACTAACCATTTGTAATGTCATACTGACCTCGTTTAGTTCATCATCGCACATTAATGGATATCTAACAACAGATAAAACTTTGTTTGTGGCATCACATTCTAAGTAGTCTTGGTTCTCTATGATCCAGCGATAAACTGCACGGAATATTTCCAATTCATCGGCATAAAACGAGTCACGAATGAGAATTTCTTGAAGAGCTCCCTAAAAAAAAATGTTGTTTCTCAACTTGTCACATAACACGAGTAGTATACTTTTTTTTATTGAAATATTATTACGGCTGACAAACTTAGAAAATCTTCTGATTGCAATACATCCAAAGCGTGAGTTTCGATAAAGTTGAGCAGATATTCGGGTGATTTTACTGCAGAGATTTTGGGCAGACAAAGTCGTGACATAGCAAACAAAGAACATACATTGTGTACATTAATGTTATTGCTTAAATACTGAGACAGTGTGTATTGTAAGCCTGAGAGTTCATATAAATTCGAGAGACTCAATAGTTCCACAATAACTTTATCCTGAAAAATAAAAATTAAACCATTGATTAATTGTTTTCATATGAATACCTTTTTCCAAACTAACTAATTAAACACAGCCGATCGACTTAAACGATCGCAGAGCTTTTTTAAAAAAAATAGGGTATATGTAGTTTGAATAGCGTTAGAGTACATCGATTATACGTCACCTTTAGATCATTTAAATTCATCCGACCGGTATAAATATACTCGAGAATTATTTTAAATGAGGCTAATGGTGCATTACTAATGTTGACTTCAGGCTTACCGGATTCTTGAAGTCCTCCGAACAATAAGCTTCTAGAAATTATGCATGCTATTAATAATTAAACAATTATTTCGACTTCCCCGGCAAAAAAAGTCGTAACTCATTTTTAAAACTAAGTTTTGTTTTGACCTGAAAACAAGTGTCTTCTGTTTAACCAGCATAGATGGTCGTATCATAAATAAGTAACGAAGTAATCCGTGAAATTAGTTAAAGATGAACTGAGTTAAGACCGTTTTCAGAGGTAAGAGGGCGTCGAAATATATGTGCCACAATCAGTAAGGCTAAGGCTTTTGTAGTCTGACTTCACAGACTATCGGTCTAAAACTTATCGTAAACTCTGGTATGCTTTAGGAAGTTAAATAACATTGAAACAGATATGTTAAATTAAGTTAAAATACCTATACTGTCTCATTTACTGCCAAAACAAATTTACAATGCAAAAAACAATCAAGGTTCTTAGCCATATAAAATGTTGCATGCTAATTAAAACATAATGTTTAGTCTATATCTACATTTTGTAATGATTTTTAAAATCTTAATATAAATAAACTTTATTAGATAGCTTTTTTTCGGAACAAATCAAACGTATTGGCTTGTGACCGCCACTGACAAATAATAATAAGTTTTTATTATGTTTATCGATAAGTACTTATTTATTAACAGCAACTTTAATAGCACTCTAAAAATCACTCAAAATTAGTTGACACTAAGGTGATATACTAAATTACAAGAAATTAATAGGTACCTAAAATATTCACTGCGCGAAGCTAAAATAGCACGGTGGACTGGCAATTGTACCTCATCGACAATTAAAACAACATCAGAAAATCTGAAATAAACATTATAATTTATTATTATACAGATACGAATTGTCAGTAACATTATAATTATTATGATTTACTTTTAATGTAGTTTAAAACTGATATACTGATCAAATAATAGTTAGACGACTTTTCTTTAATAATTATCAAAAATAATTCACCTATCAATAATCGTCTAGCTGTGATAGGAAAGCAATGGCTATAATTTTTCCCAAATTTATTAAAAATAAATTAAAGCCTATAATTTATGATACAATTTTATAATTTTTTTATTATTATTAGAAATATTCGAAATAATAAATTTCTTATGTTACAGAAAATAAACTCATAATAAAAATAATTGGTAAAATAATAAAGTAATTGGTGCAAAGACCTAACCTAACCAATATACCTGTTGTCTAGATACAGAGCACTAATGTCTTTGACCACAAAGTTACCGTGTTCGATTTGCTTTTCGTGGTGTTCGGCTGTTGAAGAAGATGGTGTACACTCAACAAAATAGTAACAAACTAAAATAAATTTAAAAAACAAACTAATTTTGCTGCTGTAGATTAAGTATGATTTATTTATTTACAATACGGTGTACCATCAAGTCATCCAATTTCACTAATTATTCACATTGTTTACTTTAGTTATTTAAATAAAATAATAAAAATATTGTTTTTGAGCGCAAACAAAACGTTTTAATTATTAAAATTTTTCTGAAAATAATCAAATGTGTGTAATGGACGTGTAATACGTTGTATAGTGTATAAACTGTATAAAACATTTGCGTTGGTTTGTTCGAATAAATAACATCTTAACTATGTAAAAACAAGAAAAACATTTGTGACTTAGAAATGCATACATATTTTGGCTGAACACAAAAATTATTATAATACGATTAAGAAAAATTAACTGTGGTTTACAACATTAGTAATAACTGATTATAACACTTAGAGATTGCTGCGTTCGAATAATACAGAAATAAAATTATTAATTTATTTCTAAAATATATTATGTACCTGGAGAATACATTTATAACATCAATTATCTCTGACTATAATTAAAAATGTTTTAAGTGTGTAACAGATGTGTAGTGCGTTGTATGGTGTATAAAATCTATAAAATATTAGCGTTGGGTTGTTCAAATAAATAACAACGGTAAAATAAAATTGGGCCTTAAAATACATACATCGGATAAATACAAAAAATTAACTAAGCTTATGAAAAATTAACGATGATTAAGAACCACTTAAGTTCATCAAAAACTATACAACTAGTGTAGTTATTGAATGTCAACGTTTGTTAATGTTCTAGTTTTAACTTAAGTGTGATAATAGCGTTGTCTAAAATATTTTTAAAAGTCACGAAGGTATTGTACATCTACAGTGATGATAACGCTTAGAGATTGCAGCGTTCAAATTATACAGATACAAATTTATTAATTTATTTGTAAAATATATTATGTACCTGGAATTGTCCATAAAATAATAACGACTAAAAAATGAATCATCTTAGTTTTAAACTATGAGGGAATTTAATATAAAATGTTGAATACTTTATAAAACACTATAAAGAAAATCATCATGAGTGTTTGAAAATGTAGTTTTATCATTGTAGCGTACCGTATTATCCCATACTTACATACTAACGTTGATAAAGGAAAAACTGTGTACACGGTATGTTTGGTTTTTTTTGTGTAGGTACATAAATATGTTATTGCTGTATATTGACTAACGTTTAATATTGCCCAGAAGGTTTGAACCCGTTAAAGGTCTTATAATTATTCATCGTTTTTTTCTATAGGCATTATAATGCAGATTTAACAGTTGCTCTCTATAAAACTCAATGTCAAAATGGAAAACTAAATTTAAAAAACCAGCAAAGTTTATTTCAAATAATTTAGACTTTTCTTATGTTTGGAAAAGTCTTCTATCAGATCACAATTAGTGTGATTGAATGTGATTTATAAATCTATATATATAAAAATGAATTTCTGTTTGTCTGTCCTTTCTGCATTAGTACTCCATTCATCCGATCGCCATGAAACTTTGGGAAGTTCTTAAGTACACTCCCGCGAACCTAACTGGCATAGTACTTCACGAAAATTCCATCCCTAAAGATGACCTCAAACACGAATTTTGTACTTTAAATACGAAATTTAACTAAATTAAATGTTTGTAACCATAGTAACCCAAAATAAACACTCTGTTTGTAACCATGGTAACCACGGTACTTGAGCAAATGGTAGGTGATGATTAAAGGAACAGGCCGATTTTATGTACCACGATTCTGGGCAAGCTTTTAACTGTTGAAACGGGATCTGGGACTGAGACTGGGACAGGGACTGGGACCCTTGAGTAAGAGGTGGACATAATAAACGAAAAAGTGTCACAAAAACGCTGTCACGCTGTTATCTGATAAGAGATTAGAGATTAAAGATGAGGAATGGGGGTGGGGATGGGGAATGAGAATTATTTTACTCAGCCATGGCAGACTAAATCTCGGGCAACGCCGGGACCGGACAGCTTGCTATAATATAAAAAACATGCTTTTCTAAAAAATAGTAAAAAGTAAAAAATAATTTGGTTACAAAAACAATTTACCAACCAATTGTAGCACATTTTTTTAAAAATGTCAATTACGTTGAAAACAACCGAAAATTAACTACAGTTTTAAATAATGTTAAATATCTTTAATTTTTTACTAAAAAGAAAAGCATGGGCCCTGTTCAACAAAGTACAAATTCATTGAGTTAAGTATTATGAAATGTTTTTTTCACACACAAATAATGAAACAAATTTATATTACAATAGAACTTCCAAAATAAAACATTATTTAAAATTGTAGTTAATTTTCGGTTGTTTTCAAAGTAATTGACCTTTTAAATAAAATGTGCTACAATTGATCAGTAAATTGTTCTTGTGTTTACTTTTTAGTTCACTTTTTACTATTTTTTAGAAAAGCATGTTTTAAAAAAGTGTTTTAGATTTCTAATTATTGCATTGGACGTGGAGAATCATTAAATTGATTAATTTTGTCTAAGTGTTCAGCTTCTGGTACAATATTTTGCGGCTGAAATTGTATTACCTTGCAAGTAACTAGTCCAAACAAATAAAAACACAACAACCAAATGGAATATGTTTAAAACAAACATTTTTTTTTGTATACTAGTAAAAAAAATCATACCAACTCGTTTATCGAATGACATTGTGCCGAAAAACAACAAACAAATAAAACAAATTATACCCATATCGTTTTGCAAATATCTAAAAGTCAGTCAAAAAATCAAATCTTTATAAAGTTATAACAAATGAACAAATAAATGAAAATTCAAAATTCAAACGCTAAAATATTATTTTATTTTTTGTCCACAAATTTATGTAATTAAAAACATATGTTTCCATTAAAAACAAAACCTAAAATCCCCCATTTTGGCTTACAAGGATTGGTGATACATTTTTTTAAAGTATTGATAAATATAGCACAATGTTTACCAAAAATTCTTGGAAAAAAATATTGTTCAAAATATTAATATATTCCGAGAAAATGAGTGTCTTACCCAAAATGAATCACCCTGTATATGTAGAATAAAATAAAATACATTGAATACATAAAAGCACAAGAGAATTATTATTTGTTACAAAAAGCATTAGCACATTTACTTACTAAAAATTTGAATATGTTTTTTTGTTTTATTATAATAAATCGTATAACATTTATGAAAAACACATTCGCTATGTGTTTTTTTTATCGTTCAAACGTTGAGATGAAAAATAATGTTTTGCTTACAATTTTTTGTAAGCACACCACACGACTTATTGTTTAAATAACATCTTTGTGTAAGCAACGAAGGTATTTGATAAAATATACTATCGATGTATATAATATGAATACAATAAACATAATATAATAAGGCCATATTAACCAAATACCCTGTAAACACGAGTTTTCAAAAACATAATCAATTATAAATTTGTAAGCGCACCGCACGACTTGTTGTGTAAATAAAAGTTGTATTTAAACAACAACAGTATTTTTCTGATAAATAAAGCGATACGTCGCACAAGTACATTAAAATCCACATTTACAAGTTCAAGTGAGTAAAATTTACGCGATTGTCTTCGATCGAGAATAGTTAATATCTGATACTAATCTGTTTTAATAATTCGCAGGTTAAGCAACTGGAAGAGGTGACATAATGGCCGTGTTGAAATCGTGGTATGTAATGTTATTTTTTTGTATAACGCAATTGCTCTACTGGTCGTACGGTGACGAGACGGAAAAAAACAAGTATCGGTTAAACAAATTATTAAGCTTAGAGTCTGAGTTAGTTACCGGTTACATTCCAGTCCTACACGAGCGTCAAAGTTTGGAAAAAAAGCGCCCCGTTGAAATACAGAACATGATAAACGACATGTACAACAAACTGGAATGCGGATGCCTTTACAGCGCCCAGTTACATTTGAAATTGACGGGCGATGCGGTTTTTAAGCACCAAAACCTTCTCACTAACGAGACAATTGACGATTTTTCGTTCACGACAGAGGCGACCATGATGATCGATTCGTTGTTGGATCCAAAATTCTACGAGGTAAACGATCTATGGTTACTTTTCATGTACACGCGTCAAATAAACGATTTCTTCAGGTATATCGTCGATGGTGGTTCGTTAAATTCCAAATATTTTAAAGAACACAAACGGATGCACAACTATGTGCTAACCGAAATTGCCAAACATGTCTACGGGTGTAAAGTTAATAACTCTTTTAATATGCATTTCGAAAAATGCGAGCTCTGGTCATTTGAAAAAAATGGCGACGTGATGAATGCAATACGACAGAACAAAAAGTTACTGCATGGAAATTTTGAAAAAAACCGGGTTAACGGACTATTGCAGTTCTCGATGTCCCAATCATTTTCTAATGAGTTGTTGCTCTTTGACGACGAAAACACATGCAAATTATTTTTTGTCGAGTTCTTTGCCAACAAATCCGAAAGTGTCGACCTACGGTTTCCGCATGACGAAAGCGCGTTGACAGCAATCAAATCACTCGGAGAGTACCAGCATCGGGTGATAGGCACGTTGATAATAATAATGTTGCAAATAACATTGGCGTATTCAATTCAACTTAACAAATCCGACGACGATTTAGCAAAGCCGAAAACGTTCAACGATGAAGTCTTAACCAAGTTTATGGACCTACTAGAGTTGGAAGATTCCACCCGTGTTGCATTCGGAGACATATTAAAGTATAAATATAAGAATAATTGTCGTGATAAACATTTTCAAAACTACAAGTCACATATTAAGAGCGTCATTGAAGGGCGCTATGAGCATATGACGATTATAAATAGTAATTTACAAAAAATCCAAACGACAGTGACCGATAGTGGCCAAACGAAAACCTTAAGCGACGTTCTTACAGTAGGCTTAAGATTTGTCAAAAAAATTCAAACCGATATTAAAAGTAATTCAATCAGGTTGGCGCAATCGTTTTTGAAAATGATTGACGAAAAATTTACCCCACTTACCACAAAGGACCGTATTTTATCATATGTTGATACATTTTTGACTAGTTCATATCGTATACATAATTTTGTATAATCATAAAAAAATAATTGCTCGTGTTACAATTAAGGCACTTTTGATTAATTCATAATGCACCTATATTTTTTGTGTCACCTGTGGGAATATTGAAATTAATAAAAATAAATACATATACAATAAAATATATTGTTCTATTTAGTATAAATCTGCCCAGAAACTTCGTAGGTTGTGCGTCACGAAAAAAAGAACTTTTGATCAGTTTTCTTGTCAAAACAATTTGGCAAATTTGAAAACACAAAAAAGATTTTTCGATAAATTGATTATTGATTTTTTAAGAGGTATAATTTTGTCCAAAAACCTACTAAAAAATAAGTACTTATCCAAAAACAGACATTTTACTTTTGAAGTAGTTCAGATAATCCCATAGTAGCAATTTAATTAGCCGAAAATGGTATTATCATCAATTACAACACATGTAATATAACATTAAATATTCTATAAAACATGGTTTGTGGTACTTCAACTTCTTCAAAAATGTAGTCTTAGTTTTGCCTATGATAAATAAATAAAATTTAACAACAAACATATTAAAAAAATATTATAAACAGAAAACAGAAAAAAAAAATGTTTGACAATATTGATAAAATTTTGACGCTGCTGTCAACCAAAATGAAACTGGTTAAGAAATCAAACACACCGTTACACGAGACTACTACTACGCTTCAAGCTGTTCACACATATTTTTTTCAACTGGTAAAAACATTTATGTTACGTGCATTTTGGAAATTTTTAAGCGACATGAAATCAACGTTGGATGATTCAAATATCAACCTTGTATCTGACTTCAGTGTTGTTTTGGAGGAATTAGCAGAATTTCTTCAATTGAACACTGAAGATGATTTTAAGAGTATAATTAATGAATTAAATGAATGGGCTGGAAAACATGCTACTATAAGTTTCCTGTTGAAAGAGAATGTCGACAAAAGATGTCTAAGATAACTGATTTGCTAAAAAAATATAACGAATATGAATCTCTAGAAGAAATAGACAACTACACAGACAAATCGTTAAAAAGAATTGATATTAAATCATGCGTGCTCGAGGGCACTGAAAATGGAGATAATGCTAGTTAACTTTGTGCTAAGAGTTTTGTCGTATATTTAAAAACAAAATTAAAAGGTGTAAATTTTAATGTTTTTCAAATATTTGATATTGAGTTCAAATTCTTTAAACTCTTCAATTAAAACTGTTGATTTATATAAACTACATTTCCATAATATCAAGATTGTTATAATATTGTTTATTATTCTAAACTACTCGAGCGCTTACATTTTAGGATAAACCCAATTAATTCAAGAAATAAATCAACTTTTTATCTTTCGCCTATTAACTCAATATATATATATATATATATTGTACACTTTAGCAGATATTCTTATGTCTTCAGAAAACTTAATTAAAACTATCGATTTATGTAAACTATCTTTTTTAATTTGTCAAAAATTGTTTCTAACTAATATTGTTTTTATTTGAACTCATTCTATTTTATTTTGTTGCACTTTTAGTTTTTATTGTGATAAATATATTGCTTATTATTTCATATTCTCCATGATATCTTTGATCTATTTTATGCATAATGTATTTAATAGTAACTTTGTATGCTACACATACTGTAAATTTATTTTATTGTAGTTAAAAAATTATTTCCGTAAAATAAAGATTATTATTATTATTATTTTAGTTGTACATCATTTTTTTTTTTTAGTTTTGACCAATATTTCCAAAAAATAATAAAAAGGTATAATAAAACCATTTTTTTGGAAGATACTATAGTATTTTTTTTAGTTTTATATTCATCGCAAATATTTAAATTCTTTTCCTAACTGTTACCTATAATTTTCCGCTGCTAGATTCTAGTCGTCTCGTGTTCTTCTAGTAATACTTACTTCCAGACCCTTTGGTTAAGCAGCTATTATTAATTTTTGTTAATGTCACTACTTTTTGTATTAAAAATTACAGCAAAAGAATAAAACAAATAATTTTTGTCTACTATTCAAAATTAGTTATAAAATTATAAATTTAAAAAGAGCTGTTAAAAAGATATATTTATGCCACACTGGATGTCAATATTTAATAAATATTTGTTATAATTTAGTTATACTAATTTGTATAACTTAAAACTAGTTCTATATAATTTAGCATTTGACTGAAAGTTCTATAAATGTGTACCAGTCTCAAATCTCGTGGTTGGTTTTTAAATTGTTATAATTATAGGTCAGTATTATGGAGATGGACCACCGTTAGAGACCATCTGGCTTAGAAATATAAAATATAAACACCATTGAAAGGAAATGAAGAAATTATCAGTCATTACGCTTCGTAAGAATAAAATAAAAGCTATTCATTAAACATTATAATAAATCTACACGAATTAAAAGTTTCTAAAATAGAAATTCAAAATTTCTAAATATTATATTTGTTAATAGAGATTTTACCAATAATCATATTTTAAATATTCACCAACAAGGAAAAATATAAAAAAATATCAGTTTTATCAGTTTTTTATCTTTCCTATTTGTTTATTGATATACTATGATTATCGATACACAATTAAGTTTTACTAAGTTTAACTACCGATAAACATTAACAGGTATTTGAAAATATTTTCATTTTATTGTCAATCACATATATTTAGTTATTAGTTATAATTTTTTCAAATTTATTTTATTTAGCTTTTGTGCAAAATTGGGTCACAGAGTTTTTTTTTTTTAGAAACATGTATTATTTTGTTGTTTTATAAATAACATTGCCTTTTGCGTCATATATTAATAAAACTGTTTTTACATAGTCTAAATAATACTTGCTAAATAATATATATTTTACGTGATCGGTTGGTTTGCATTAGTCATAAGTTAAGTTAATATAAAAAAAATGTATTTCTTTGGTAAACGATTCCTATATGTATAATCTAACACAAGCTTATTGCAATTTAATAGATTACCTAATTAAGTATATACAATATATAATATTCTATGTCAGGAAATAATTTGAATATTTTAAAGTACAAAATAAACAATATGCAATTTGGCATAGTATTATTTCTACTTCATCCATGATTTTCCATGGTTAATAATTAAGATCTATAATATTTATTTTGAATAAATATAAATAATTAGTGAAAATAGGATTTTTTTCCTGTGTGTAATTTTTATTGTACGCATTAATGTGTAACAATATAATTGTTTGAACAAAAGTACAATACACCACATGCTAGGGTTTTTTTTTTGTTTTTTAAAAAACACAGTTGATATTTAAATCACCGCACAATTAATAACACAACTAACAGTGTTATGAATATTATTTTTCGTGTAAGAAAATAAATATATGATTATTTGGCAATTTATATTTGGTGTAGGCACCATAGAAACTTTAAGCATACATAATACAATAAAAAAATTAAGATATCTACAAAAAAGTTAAAAATGTTAAAACATAAACGTTTTTGACACCTAGTGGGGTCTTTGCATAGTGGAGACGGGAATTCACAGTCTTCAGGAGATATTTTTACTGAAAGTAATAAAAATCACTAAAAAAAAATATTTTGATTCGATCTGTAGAAACTGTGCTGGTTTAGACTGCACTTGGTTTGGACTGTACCGGTTTAGTCTGCGCTGGTTTGTTAGTGTATAATAATAGTGCTCTACATAAAGAATATCTAACAAAAGTTTTAAAGTAATTTGATTGTGAAGATGTTGACATAAAAAGGTAGAGAACAGATCTAGGGGACGATTGTAAGTCATTTGTGTGTTATGATAAAGAATCGTCAGTCGTATGGAGCCAAATAATATTTAACTAAAAGAAAAATTATAGTAAACATCAGACTCCAATAACTCATATTTTGTCCATACGATATACATATATATACGATTATTACGGTTGTACGATTTTTTGTTGGGTTTTTTTTTAAAAATAGCACAAAACTAAGAAATATGATTCAAGATCAGATTTTGTTTTTCTATTTCTTATTGTTTATACACTATACTTCATAACAAAAATATGTTGCTTATATTTAACGCCTAACATGCGATTCAACGTATGTCATATGAATATTGTATACTTTTATTATTTTCAAAACCGTCTAAAACAATTAACATAATAAATATGATTGACTCGACCACTTTTTTTTTGGTACCGGTTTAATATGTTACCTAAATGGCTTCAATTAAAGTTATTTATTAGATCCAATTATTATCGTTATTAAATTTTATTCGAAAAACATAATAAAAAAAAAAATAGATAACTATTTTTAACCCAGTAGTATAAGTACACTAAAATATGGGCTGTATTTTTATAACTTTTTAAAGGCTATGAATACGTTAAAGCTTTCGTGGATTGATATATTATTTAAAAGAGTTTCGGATATATATTCACGTCACTAGTTATATGCCGACATTTAAATTTTTTTAAAGGCTGTTTTTATATTACATCCAATTAACTATAGTTCAAAGACTATTGAGTCTTAAACATATTTTTGATACGCCGAAAAAAACATAAGACAGAGTTTTTAGCACTTTGGTCTTGATTTATGGCAGTTAAGAAAATATTATTGTTACATATTTTCTATACAATCAAATTAAACGTAATATTAAGTACTAATAATAAAATATGTTTATATTAGGATAATTTAATGAAATATTATTGAGTCCTAATGTATAAATTAGTTATTCGTTATAATTTTTGGAACATTGAGGTTCTATGGCAATGCAAAAAAATAGTCCAAACATTTGAACAACTTACAACAAAACAAATACGCTAAAAAACACTCGTTTTCGATGAACAACAAAGCGTATAATTTCGTATGGTACTGATTAAAATTGGCCAACCAAAAATTGATCACAAATAAGTTCTCCTAGAAGGCTAAGACTTGTTTTACTTAATTTAACTTTTTCAAACATAGTTTTAGGATTTATGTCTGAAAATTAAGCCGAAGCTTGTTCTAGATACGAATTATAACATAAAATACAATTTTCTCAGAAATCGGTAGTCAAACATTTTTTTTTTTATGAAGTAAAACCTAAAAACAATGTATAATTACAAATGATAATAATTTTAATCTAAGACCATAGTCAGTCCTCAGT